TAGGTCTGACGTATTGCATTACTATGACCTTCTTCAGATATCTTGCTGACATAAAATAAAATGCGAGTAAAATGGTTTATTGAGTTGTTTCAGAATGTTGTATGTTGTCAATAATGGAGAGAAAGACGAGATTAGGCTGAGCAGAAATGTGTTGAAAAAATGTGGAAAAGATCCGTATTTGTATCAGAATTACAATCATCACTGTTTATCCATTCTTAGGTCAAGTTCAGACCGAGAGTCCTACGCTATAGCAGATCGGCTTCACAATCACCTCATCGTTATTCTCTTCGCATTATGGGATAGATCATTACATTATTATTAATATGTGATCTGCATAATATTCGTGTTGCATTTGAAAATCACCTTTTCCAACCAGCTTCTATAAAAGTGGCTGCGAACAAATGAAGATATCAGGAGTAAACTGAGTTGAAGACAGACTTCATCCTCGAAAATTCTAGAGTCTTGGCAGAAGTGGTCAAATTCGGTATACCTACTGGTACTTCATAAGAATATCCAGTAACCAACCTGTAAATCACCAATAGATGAGCATTCAAATCAGATAGAAAAACGTGAAAGTACTTTTAAGTATTCTGCATCTTAACTCAACTTGGGCGTGCAAAATAACCATTACCACATAAGAGAATTTCGGCTATGTTATCAGATATATTATCAGGTATGAATAGTTATAATAGAGAGACATTTATCCCCAGTATTGGTCCGTTTCTCAGAATTCTAGAGACACCATCAGTTAGGTTCAATAAACTGTTCTGATTTGACATAACAGATCACTAACACAACGTTCAAAGTTTAGTGAGTTACAAAGAACAACTAGACAGGATACAGTATTGCGCAACCAAACTGACCGATTTTCACATTATCTGTAAAGTCAACAAGCAATTTATAATCTTAATGCTTCTGTTATGTATTACTCCATCTCAGAATCCAATACGATACTGCTCAACCACCTTGAGTGTATGAAATTTGAACGAACGGATGTAACTAGCGTGGCGTCGAGTTGAGATTAACTGTGAACACCGCTACCAAGAAACACGTGCCAGATAAATCAGAAGGCGAGGATCGAATGTAACCAGATTTATTTCGTTGGCGATCTCGTGGTATTGAACGAATACCGAGATCGTGCCAAGGAATGGTACAAGCGAAAGCAAAAGACAGGAGTACGTGCGAACAGTACCAAAAACCGAGGAACAATGATGGAAGGTAATGGAAGCACAAAATGGCTATAATTAGCACAGTTAAACAAAAGCACATTAAAACAAACACTGGTACAGTTGGTTATAATAATAATTGGTTTTATTAAACCAGTCGTGTTCTCGTGATAAACGTGAGTCACTACAGGAGCCCCCCGCTAGAAAGGGTTTAAACTTTCGATAAATAGCGGTTTGAATCGTGGGACTGATCGGCTGACGAGCGATTGTAGGACGGAAGAATTGGCGAACAGGAAAGCGATCGTTGGTCGTCGAGTTGCCAACGAAGGTCGTTTTCGGAGAACAGTACCAGGAGCGATGTGTTGTATTTATTGCTCGAGTGGGCATGCTACACCAGAGTGATTTGTATCCAGAATCTGAAGAGGCGTTCGTAGAGGTGCGCACCAGAAACGCTGCAGACGTAGGACGAAACCACGTTGAGCCAAAAGACCAGAAGCGACCGTAACGACCAAGTTCGAGACCAAGCGTATGCCAAGCATTCGAAACCAATATATCGACTGAGTGCGTTGACAAGAGCATGGGTGGCCAATCCAGCTTTCGCCAAAGTTGACTGAAGTCGACGGAACCAAACGGAGATGGTCAAAGTCGTGGGCTCAGGAAACAAAAAGAAAATCAAAAAAAGAAGAGTGTAGCATACGTGTAGTATAGGAATAATCCTACACCGTATCGGTTGTTGACTGTGCGACTATTCGCGGAAGCGTACGGGTAACCGTACTCGGCGACCGGAACGTGAGACGGCAGTCTCGTTCGCGTCGCGTGAGCCTGCAATCTCATCCGAAGTCAAGGGCGGCGTGGTCTGCTGATCTGGACGTGAGACTGTCGTCTCGTCCGTAGACGGTGCAGATGATGCGTGCTGTTGACTGGGACGTGAGAATGAGGTCTCAGATGTATCTAGCGTGGGACCTGAGGATGGTTTGAGGATCCCGCTAGTAGGCTTGCTAGGTCTAGCATTGAATCTCAAGTTGTCAGATAGGGCACTGTTATCGACGTGTGCTGGTTTGAGACGATCAATGCCGACGATCTCGACGCGGCCGTGTCGATCAACCTTGAAGGTCTTTTCGTGACGAGCGATCACGTGAAAAGGGCCTTCGTAAGGTTGTTGCCAAGGTTTGGGTACCGAATCTACTCGTATGAAAACATGTGAACAGGTAGATAACTCTCGAGGGAGAGCGACCTGTCGATGTTGTATTCGAGTTGACACCGGAGACAGCGTTCGCATAAATGCAGACAGTCGTTGGACGTAGTCTGATTTAGCGAAATTAGGTCTGCTCCGTGGTGTGAAGAATTCTCCGGGCAGACGCAATGTCGTGCCGTATACAAGTTAAGCGGCGGAACATTGGATATCTGCCTTTAAACTCGTTCTGATACCTAAAAGAACGAGCGGTAAGGTTTCGTACCAGTCGTCGTTTGCGTGTGCTCGAAGAGCACTTTTAAGTTGCCGGTGAAACCTTTCAACTAAACCGTTTGAAGCTGGATGGTAGGCGGTAGTGCGTATTCGTTCCGTACCAAGCAGCCGAGTAAGTGAGGAGAATAGTGCGGACTCAAATTGTTGTCCTCGGTCGGTCGTGACAGTCGAGGGACAACCATATAGAGCTATCCATCGTTCTACGAAGCGGTGAGCAACTGTCTCCGCTGTGATAGACGTGATGGGTATAGCTTCGGGCCATCTGGTGAAGCGGTCGATGCACGTGAGTATGTGATCATACCCGTGCGATGGTGGCAGTGGTCCTACAATGTCTAAGTGAACATGATCGAAGCGAGCATCAGGCGTAGCGAATGTACCGAGGGCATCGAAAACGAGACGGCGATAAGCAGAGGGTACGATGGGTCGAGGAAAACCGGTAGAAGTATCACATAGAATGGTGCCAGAAGTCGTGGCTAGAGGTACTTCCTGATACTGAAGGGACGTAGAGTGTGGTGCTTTTGTACAGCTGGGATCGTTTGCTTGGGCAGCGGCCATAGCAGGAAGATCGAGCACCGGCAGGGTAACTGCATTCATTTGGATTCGTGATAGAGCATCGGCAACACAGTTCGACTTGCCTTTGATGTGACGAAGGTCTGTCGTGAACTGGGAGATATAGTCCAAATGTCTGCACTCTCGTGGTGAGTAGCGGTCAGACTTGGTATGCAAAGCATACGTTAAGGGCTTATGGCCGGTGAATCGACGTCCTTCTACTGCGTGCCGAAAATGTTTGATGGCGCAATAGGCTGCTAGCAGCTCGCGACCAAAAGCGCTATATCTCGTCTCCGTGGTAGTAAGGCGTCGTGAGAAAAACTCGAGAGGTTGCCAACTACCGGAGATGTTTTGTTGCATGACTGCTCCTATAGCAACATCGGATGCATCAACCGCTATACTAAGCGTGGCTGATGGATCGGGATGGGCGAGAAGAGTGGCTTGCGCAAGAGCTGTTTTGATTTCAGTGAATGCAGTACGTGCAGAATCGTTCATTCCCAATCTGCGTGGGTTGCCGCGTAGTAAGTCGGTTAGTGGTCGTAACCGTTCTGCCGCGTGTGGGATGAAACGACGGTAGAAGTTAACCAAACCGAGAAAAGCCTTCAGTTCCTTGAGTGAGGACGGCTCGTTGTACTCCTTTATTGCTTGAACTTTGTCCTCACAAGGTAAAATACCCTCTTGCTTGATAACATGACCCAGAAATATTATTTCTCGTTTACCTAACTCCCATTTGTCTGGGTTAACTACTATTCCATTATCCGAAAGGCGTTGGAATAATAGCGTAAGATGTTGATAATGTTCATCTACGTTTGATGATGCGATTAGCAGGTCATCAATATAGACGTGAACAAAATCGAGGTCTCGTACAATGCTATCGATAAACCTTTGAAAAGTTTGAGCAGCATTCCGTAATCCAAATGGCATTCGTAGGAACTCAAACAAACCGAAAGGAGTCGTGATAGCAGTCTTTTCGATATCTTCAAGAGCGACTGGGATCTGATGATATGCTTGTACCAGATCGATCTTAGAAAAGATAGTCGTGCCCTTGAGCGATGCCGTGATGTCGTGTATGTGGGGGATGGGGTAGCTATCGAAGCGCGTAACTACGTTTAGAGCTCGGTAGTCGCCGCATGGTCTCCAACTAACCCCATCTTTTTTGCTCACCATGTGTAGAGGAGAGGCCCATGGACTGTGAGAAGGACGAATAATACCAGTAGCTAGTAAATTGTCAAACTCACGCTTAGCAAAAGCTAATTTGTCCGGTGCCAGTCGGCGAGGTCGTGCCGTGACTGGCGGTCCGCGGGTGACTGTGTGGTGTACCACACGATTGGTCACCGATGGAAGCTCCTCGAGTGGTTTAGTGAGTACGGGGAATTTCTCGAATAAAGCGTGGAATTTATCGTCACGCGAGTAAAAAGTGCCGAGGATTCGGTACGCGTTCATGTGGGCTTTACAGCCCATGAATTTGCTGTTCGACGAAGTATCGATTAGCTGCAGCCTACGTGAATCGACAAGCAATTCATAGTGCTGTAGAAAATCGATACCTAGTATGGCTGTGGGAACATCAGCAATGATGAACGTCCACAGATACCGTCGTCGGTTGCCCAGGTTGACCACGAGTTGTCGTGTACCGTGGGTAGGAATGACTGAGCCATTCGCAGCGCGTAGTCGAAGCACTGTGGCTTATGACTTGCTGCTACCTCGTGGTACGACAGAAACTTGGGCCCCAGTGTCTACTAGGAACCTAGCGTTTGTGCGATAATCGTGCACATAGAATAGGCGACCAACCTGGGGAGAAGGGCCGGCGAGTACGACCGCTTTTATTCGCCGGCGCTGGCGTTTCCCGCCTTGTATGAGCATGGTGCTCGACAACGGCGGGCGCCAGACCCGAAGGACCTATGGAACCAGCACCAACTGTCACTCGCTTCCGTAGCCGCCTTTCGGCGTGGCCTGGAAGATGCCTTTTTTGGGCAAGTGGTGACGGGTTTGCGAGAACTTGAGCGAGCTCGGGGGACGTAGGGTTGGGGTACGTTACAACGGTCTCGAAAACTAAGACGTGTGTGGATACACCCGTCCCTGTCTCCATGAGCTGAGGAATGACCGGCGTCCAAGTCTAATTTAGGACGTGCCGTTGAAGCAACTACATAGGTATCTTTACTGCTAGTCCTCGCTAAAATTTTATCTGCTATGAGGGCTACCTGGTTAAGCGGTGAGTCCTCGAGCAGTGCCGCCACAGTAGGTTGGATATGGGCTGGTAGTGACTCGAGCCATAATTCCTTAACTATCTCCGAGTCAGATGCTGTTGGTCCTGCAAGAGATTGCAGGCGCGTGAGGTGATGGCTTGGTTTAGCATCACCCAGGGGGTGACGTGCTAACAGGGTCCTCAATCGTTCCTCCCTCGATGGGAGGAAATGTCGGAGAATTGCCTCCTTGAGGCGGTCATAAACATTAGGCACGTTAGAATTGAGGACGACCTCACGAACAGCTACTAAATGGTCCCCGGGTAACGATTCGAGAGCGTAGGCGTATTTTTGCCTTTGGCTCGTGATGCGACGAGTCTCGAACTGAGACTCTATTGCAGCAAACCAGACCTCAGGGTCGTGGGGGATAAATGATACAGGTCGAAAATGAATGGCCTGTACGTCTGAGTCTATAACATTAATAGTATTCTTCTGGCTATCCGTCATGTCGTGTATATTATATATTAAAAATTAATATGAAAATATACGACAGACGTGGATAGATAAATAATAGACTCACCGAATTGGCTTCTTTGGAAGATTTGACCCGAGTTTGAGGCGTGTTCCAAACTTTGGGCTCACCAATTGTAGCGTGGCGTCGAGTTGAGATTAACTGTGAACACCGCTACCAAGAAACACGTGCCAGATAAATCAGAAGGCGAGGATCGAATGTAACCAGATTTATTTCGTTGGCGATCTCGTGGTATTGAACGAATACCGAGATCGTGCCAAGGAATGGTACAAGCGAAAGCAAAAGACAGGAGTACGTGCGAACAGTACCAAAAACCGAGGAACAATGATGGAAGGTAATGGAAGCACAAAATGGCTATAATTAGCACAGTTAAACAAAAGCACATTAAAACAAACACTGGTACAGTTGGTTATAATAATAATTGTTTTTATTAAACCAGTCGTGTTCTCGTGATAAACGTGAGTCACTACAAGCTTTAATGTTATAACATGACATACTTTTATTAATGAAAATCTCAGAAAAATGTCAAATGCGTATGGTTTTGCTGATATGACCACGGGACGCGTGTAATTACATTAGATTAGTCGACCATCGTTATTTTTCAAGTACTAAACCTAATACCTGGCAACCAACAACTGAAACCCTAATCATTTTTTCTCATCACCTACAGCTTAATAGGTAGCTGAGCAAACTTATACACGAAAAATAACCAAGCGGAGTTTCTTATATGTCTTCCGAAACACTTGCATTTGTATGATGATTATAATAATTTGAATTATTAGACATAACACTTCACATAAAAGTTTAGATGACTGGAAATTATTTTGTAGTTAAAAATTTGATAGCCATGAGGAACAACTCGACAAAATATTTTAATCCGTCAAAGTTTCCTACATTCTTAGTAAGGATGATATACGTTCTATTAATTTAAACAGATCTGGAAATAAACGTATCCTAAATGCTTAAATATATGCGCGTGATTATATATTCACAGTAATTATTTTCGTCTTTAAAAGCTAATCATTGAGAGCGAAGAATTTTAGAACCTTCCATTTTCATAATTTCGCAATACTAACATTGAATTATTCAATACACATGTCCAGAATTGAACTGAAGAGAAGTTTGCCTTTTGTTCAATGGTGGCAACATTGAAAATGTTTGGAGTTTCTGGGTGTTTGGAGTTAGTTGAAGTTGTGTTTAGACTATAATCTACGTTTTTACTCACAAATGATATTTTACTATTTCTCATGAGCTTTTATAGCGGGGTGAAGTATAACTGCGGCCTATTAAGCAACAAACTTGATTTAAAATGATCAAATCTCATGACTTATAATGATGTATTTAGTTTTTGGCGTGAGCATTATTCTTGCTAAAAGCTATCCGAAAATATCTCAGTTATTACTTAGTCATTTGAGTTTGCTTATCTCTTTTATCAAGGATCCAATAAACAATGTGTTTTGGAATGGTCGACTTCCATTAGTATAATTATTCCTCCGTTGTGTTTACTTTAGGTGGGGTTCATCTAAATATTTTGATCTTCAATGAAGTTTCGTTTTAATGTTGTAAAAATTCTGATCTGGATTATTTGTCAACGTTGACGAGGTTACGTATGTTAATATTGTGCTGATGTACGTGATTATTTTCAGCGCTAATTATCGCAAGTTAAACCTAAGAGTTTAACACACAGCTTTTGCCACCTTGAAACAGCTGGAACTCTACTCTTAGTTATGCGAATGACCGACATAAACTACAAACTTATATTCAACTAATAATCTTGGTTTTGTAGTACTTTTAGGAATGTAGTGCATATAGCCTAAGTTATCCATGTAATTGAAGGGCAGACTAATCACTTACTGTTGCGTTCGCCAAAAGTTCTGAACATAAGGTCATCTGGTTTCAGTTGCAGTTTGGAAAGGAGGGGAGGCTAGGTGGCCTCGGTTATTCCTGGTAATGGTGGTCTTTCAGTTGATCCAACTTCCTTTTGAAAGCATAGATAGATTGAGCTCCAATCACATGTTGGTATGGTGAATTACATTTGTTGATGATTGGATGGGAAAGTCGACCGTCAACTGACAAGTAGTTTGTTCTGGGGTTGTGAACCATTAATGTTGTCCTCGTAAATTTTGCACTTTGGAAATAAAGAAAAACGAGAGCACATCTAACGCAAATTTATCATTATGTAATTTGGAAACTATGGTCAAGTTGCTACTGATTCTTCGATGTGACAATGGAAATAGGTTTAGCTTAGCCAGTCGAGCATCATACGGGAGCTTTGTTATCACAGGAATCAACTTATTCGAGGTTTTTTGAACCTTTTCCAATGGCTCGCTGTCTTTTTTTAGACAAGGACCAGCCACTTGTATGCTGTACTTGAGTTTAGGATGCACGGTACTGTATACAAAGTCAAAAAAGTTTTAGCGTCGTCATAGTTAAAGGCCCTACGTATTGACCATAGAGTTCTAATTGGTCTTTTTGTACCGTTCAGTCATCGATCGGAGGTTTTCAAAAAGGAACTAGACACAAACAATATCCAAAGAAAAAGGCAACTGATGACCAGAAAAAAGTGAAAAACTGTTAGACCCAAATGTCCAGACAAGTATGAAAAATCCAACGTACTCCAAAGTACGACCGATAAATTGCTTTTGAAAAAACGATACTCTTGGCGAATACTTTAAGTGAAATAAATTCGACTAAAGTGAAAACAGTAGTTTTGATGCGTAATTTATGATCAAAATAATAATACTAACTCAGCGAGGAAAATTACCACTGTTCTTTCTAAGCACTTCGTATACTTGCTTTCCGGAGGTTCAATCTGGCTTTTGCTAACACATCCTCGTTATTGGCCACTAAGCATACACAATAATTCTTGATGTCATAAGCAGTTTCTATATTTGAACTCGACAAAAAACTGGGGAAATAAAAGGGAATTTTACCAAGCAGATTCTCCTCAGAAACAGTATTGTAGCGATACTGCTGGTTCATATCACTCCCATATTCGTTACTTGCTTAGACACATGACTGCAAATTAAGGTTAGTGGAGATTGTAGTTTGAATTTTAAAACAATAACCGAATAGAAATCTTTTTGGAACTTGATGACCGTACCTCACTGATAGGTTAAGTGAGTTTTTTCTCTTTTACTGATTTCATAGACTAAACAAACCAGTAAACGTTATTGACTCATGAAACAACGCTTTATCCAACACTTCGTACCGAATGATTTAATTTTGAAGTTGTGCAAATCAAGCATGATTTGGAACCAGGGGGGATTTATTCCTCCCCAAAATACTTTTCAAGTAATGAAAACTTAGTAGTTAGTGTATGAGCACATTTAGAAAGGGAAGCAAGTACGTTTCTAAATGTACCTCATAAATTTGTCAGAAATCTTTTGTAATGAAACAATACATTGGCTACAAAAGTTTAGTGGTATCTGACATGTTAGGTGGCTTCAGGTTAAAGTAAAGCAAGAAGGATGGCTGATATCGAACAATCCTTTAACTGCAAAAGAGTCTTACCCATCAACTTTGGATGCTTTACTAGCTTTGGAAATGTGATTTTTAATGTATTTCGGAGAGGCTCTGTTGGAAACAATCTTATTAACACTGTTAAATTAACAGCTTCAAACACTTCCTTTTTATAAGTTAACTTACTTGTGGTCAGCTTAGATCACAAGGAATTACTATTTTTAATGTATTAAATTGTCTTTTTGTATCGGGAACTCAATATTGTCTACTCACGTTAAGTTTTACTACCTGGGAAGGGAAATAACTGCGTTTAATTCATTTATCTTGGTAAATCCTACGTTTCCTAATAGTAGTAAAAGAAATCGCTGAACGATTTCAGTAGGATGTTTTTTTCTTTCATGCGTTGTTGAAAAATACCCTCAGCTCTTGTAAGTATTACTATCCTATCAATCAGAATGCAAAAGGACGTAAAACTGGATGAACTTCATTTAAAGAATAGAGTGCTAACAAATAAGTGAGAATGTAATGCAACATAGCTCAAGCGCTGTCTGCGATTCAGTTTTTTAAAGTCTGGGTTCTTATCAGTTTTATACTGTTCACGACCTGTTGAGCAGGAATATCTTTAGTTAACGAGAGAGTATAAATAAACAAACTAATGAATACGAATTTTTAGTACTCTTGAATAGGTTAACTGTTGCACTGATGTGACGTGCAGAGTAAGTGCATAAACACAACAACTTTTCTGTGATCAAGTTCCATCAAAACTCTGACCAAAACCTGTTTAAAAAGTTTTGAAATTAGAAAGTTAGGAAAAACGTTCAAACCTGGCTTCTTAAAAACTACATCTTTGATGACTAACCATCAAAGTTAAGTCTGATTTCTTTATAAATTGAGGATCTCCGATTGTGTGGTCATCAGTAGTATCAGTGAATAAACTCTTCAATGTTTATCCACCTTTTAAGGTTTGATGAAGTGAGTAAAAGTCAATCCGAAACCACCAAAATATAGAGCTTATTCGTATTACATAAGTATTTTTGTCCAGTCACGTTCAAATTAAACAGTAATCTGCGCAGCGCGTTCTCAGTCCATATAACACTAGTTGGAATACTTATATCGTACTCTACTTTTAATTTACTAAACGTATAATAACTTGAACACTGATGTTACTATCGCTTTGGGCACCCTGGCAGTATTCCAGCTCACATACAAATCGAATGACAAAGTTTGGCGAATATATTTGGTGCCTTCTTGTATCATTGTTTACGTGTTTAAATAAATAAAACTATCCATTTAGCCTTAAGAATTTTTTCGTAGTAAAATTATTTTTAATACTTGTAAAAACATTACGAATATTTTGGTTTGTGAAAACTCTCCTCGATTTTAAATTTATCAATGTTTTTTCTTGAGAATTCAGTTTTCATCACAACGGATAATTTTAACCTAAAGGTAGTGTATTCACTACACGAAATTCGCCGGAAAATTTATAATGGAATAATTTAATACATTAAAATATTATAAATTTACTGACGTGTTCAAAATTCTTATTTTCAGGCACAAAATTACTTGTGTAATAAAATATCAGTTCATTTTATTCTAATGATTTTGCAAACAAACTATGAAAACTTTGATTGTTCATTACATTTTTTAACCTGATCTGCTACTGAAAAAGCTTCAGGCTTGTGATACTGCTATTGTTACAACCTTCCATCACTATACAGGATGAACTTACACAGTAGTTCATCGAAACATGACGAACTTCGTGAACACATTTTTGATTACTCCAATTACTCTTCTACAGAAGATGAGAACTCTAACTGGAAGCGTTCAACTAGTGATGCAAGCTTTTTTCTTGACGGACAGCTTCCAATCGACGAGTGGTAATGTGACATTTAAAATTTTTACAACTAATCCGTGGTTTCTATTTTAGCGACACATCTGGAAATGTTTCAGAACAAGCACGAGTTTATTGGGACTTACCAGAAGCTGTGGAAGCCTCCGTAACACCTAGTTGTGGATTAGACAGATCACAACGCAGCTACGAAATACGAAAATTAGAAAAGGTGTCAAGTGGATCTGGTAAATTAATATAGAATGTTTTACGCTGTTGTAACGTACATCCCGAAACCTTGACTTACGAGTGTTTTACGACCTATTTAAATCCCCGCTTCTTATTAGATTTTGCGTTTTTTCCGTAAAAGAACATGTAGTGCTATTTCGTGTGCACATAACAAATTCCAATACATCACGAGAGACACTTTTTGACTTTAATAGAATAAACTAACTGAAAGAGTTGTACGTTTGTTTAGGTTTGCAAAGTTTAAATAATACTGATCTTAGCTAGACCATTATTGAAAACTAGAAGCGCTGAATTGCCGTTTTTCCTAGTGTGAGACTCCTCGACAGTGTTTATCTGTGGCTTTGCGCATAGAAATCAAACCCAGGGCCCCTGATTACGCGTGCGATTGCTTAACGTCTAGATCACTGAGCCCATGTCCGATGGCATTAATGCCCAACTTTAATTAATCCGTGATATGACAAAACACTCGTCCATTGAATTTTATGGATAAATGCCTCACTCTCGACACGGATTTAAGTCCATTGGCCTCGGTTTTTCACTAGAATTCCAGGATCTGAATTTTGAAGCTGGTTACTAGTGAGCACATGATTTCATAAAATAAAATCCCTTGAAGATATCTAAGTATCAGAAGGTAATAGAGAAAAAAAAGTAGCTTAAGATTAATTACACTTTGAATGATAATGGTTTTCAGAATATTTTGCAACAAGAATAACAAGTGACTAGGTCTGGAATAATTTAAACAAGTTCTTATTATCAAGCTAAACGAAAGTTGAATTCGCGATGAGTGGTTTTTACTCTTTTAGAATACAAAATGGTATTTACCTAGCAACCGTAATTTCTACTGTACTTTGAGGAACTTAAAGTGACTGATTCGAAATTTTGTCTAGTAATTGAACAAATATTAACCCACAAACTGGTTCTTATTCATATTTGATAGTGCTTTGTGCACCACGAACCAGACTATTATTTTACGAAATTGCAAAACTGTAACGTTAAAGCGATATCTTTTTTTAAAAATTTATTTCATACACATGGTTCCCTATATCGTCTTGAACAGATATTTCAGCAGACTAGCTCAGTGGTTTAGAGGTTAGGCGTTTGTTCCCGGGAGCGAATGTCCTGGGTTCTAAACGCGCGAACGTCATCGTGGATGCGCACTACTGAGGAGTCCCATACTTGGACGAAACGGCCATCCAGCGCTTCCAGGTTTTCAGTGGTGGTTTAGCATCAATCGATTCATGATCTCAATCAAGACCTTAACAATCTCCACAACCTCATACTGACCATTTTATTTCAGTTTGTTCTCATCGGCTGCTTGCAACCTGTGATTTTTATAAGTCATAATTACAGAATGGGCTTAAATTACTGACATGAAATATTTTAGTCGGAAGTTATTTTGACGACACAGTACAGCAAGGGTGTAAATGAATTTAATAGACGTAATACTGCAAATACATACCTTATGTAAAAGAACATCCTACAGAATTAATTGTAACGAGGGTCCAATGGACTAGAAATAAGTGAATACGAAATGAGTGAACGCTGATAAGAGTAGGATGAGTAAAGTTCAGTTAATAAAATAAGATTACTAATCAAAAAGGCAATCGAAATAAAAAGACGTAATGATGTAATAAAATAAAGGTTTTAAAAATTTTTTAACATGCAATGAAGGAATGTTTGTCGCCAAGGCAAGGAAAGATTAATAGCCATCTACTGTTGAACACATAAGTCAGGTTTTCGACGCCTGATAGCAGCGGCTCCAGCGAACTTCCGAAGACTGAAGCTTCTCTGTTTGTTAATCACCTTAAATGATTGAAGGTATCGACCTGATGTCCTTTATTCAAGAAATGTCTAGAAATTTCACTGTTTAAAGTCGTTCTCTCTGTTGTTCTGAAGCTTTTTGGAACATGTTCAAAAAATTTAAGGCATACCATCATTTCTGTTCGACCCATGTAGCTGCTTTGTCTTTGATAAAAAGACTTATAAGGTTAGCTAATTACAAACTAGTTCGTAAATAGTGTAACAAGGATTTTAATAATTCAAATAAAATAAAACCGAATAGTTTAGATGCTAGAATTAGATATCATATTAAACCTTTTTTAATGTGATCTGATCTTAACATCTTATCAATTCTTTATACGGATTCCTTATATCAATATCCTCATTTTTATTTTTGCTAGCTAGTGACCAACTTTATTTTTATCAATTGAAGCATTCTGAATTTCATTTATAGTAATGATGTTTGAGCATTAAATGTTTTTAACAACTGTATGAGAATAAAATGAAATAGAAGGAATCTAGGTTATTCTGCTTACACTGTTGTTCTTGCTCTTTTCAAGTTTAACGAAAAAATGTGTATGGAATTTCTTATTTGTTAGGATGTTGGCATTAACGTGTTGTTAGCGGTAGTAAAATATTTTAATCTAAAGAATTTGATTGGTTATTAGTTCTAATCTTATTTACATATATGTGTTTGGTTTAGCAACATCACGTGTTCAGGTGCATCGTGTGCATTTTCGAGAGCACAACTTACCACCAATAATGAGAAAAGATGGAACGAATCGTTCACAGTCAACACCATTTACACCATTTCAAAATATAGACTGTGCACGTTTATTGAGACAGTTTCAAGAACAGCAGCAACAAAGAGATTATAATCTTGATTCAACTCGATTATTATCTGTTCAGCATCGTTCAAAATCTGACGCAAATCAGTCAGTATCATCAAGTTCTAAATTTGTTTTAAAGACTACTGATCATCAATCTGATCTGACAAATAACGACGCAATTATTATGGGTAATAAAGCTATTAAAAAAGAATATATTAACGAATCAACGACATCATCATCATTATCAAGTGTTCTTAATAATAGATTTGATACATTTATCAATCATACTAGTGGTAATGTTGATAATAAAATTATTAATGATATTAATCCTAAAAGTAATCACAATTTTCAAATGATTGAACAAAAAATGATATCAGAAATGGAAAAACTAAGACATATTTCGTTGTCACCCTTCACTGTTTCATCATCTTCATCATTATCGACCATCGTGCAGCCATCAGACAATATTGCTAATATTATAACAACAATGACTACAATACCACAAGATAACAATTCCGTACTTGTACGGAACGAAAAAGACATGAATCGTTTAAATGAAGAATATAAGGTAATGCTTGCATTTAATTATAAAACATTGAAATATACAAGATAAAATTAATTAATTTTAGTCTATTCTAAATTAATTTTTGTTGTACACTCTTTGTATAGACGTCATCCTGTAGTTTGCATTCTTTTAATTATTTATCATAATTATTCCTATAATAGCATTATTGGCGGTGTTCATTCAATTCTTTTTTCATACATAATTACTGCATTACTATTGTCTAGAAAAGTAAAATTAAATGTAATATATTTCATATACCCATATTAGTTGCTAAGTGCTTAGTATCGATTTTAATATTACTTTGCAGAAATTAACCAAATCATATTAAACGAAGCTAAAAATAAATTCTATTGTTCTAATATTTTCATAAAAGCCAAATAAAATAGGTAATTTTTCATGTTGTTTTATATTTGATAAACATATCCACCTCTTCACAAAATACATTACTGTTTATTGTGTTTATTTACAGATTTTAATGTTATTAACTTTTCTTTTCATAATATTTACATAATGTCTATGTAAATAATACATTTAAGTAAACCAATAATCATGGAATTGTATATATTATAAATCGTTTACAACCAATGATGATTGAAAATTTGAAAAGATATTAAACAGTACTTTTCAAAAAAACATTTCGAATTAAAATTCTGCTAAATTTTATTTTCATTTTTTAATTCTGTAAAACTACTAGTTCCTTCATCAAAGTACAATAATAATGTAAACGTTGGAGTAAATCTAATGATTTAATCTGGGTAGGAAAGAACATTATTGATCAATAATTTTTAAGTTTTATACGACTGATCAAATGTTTTAGTTAGGTTTATGTGATACGATGTGAAAACTTCGTGCACTACTTAAGATATAAATCAATGCTATTCATAGAGTTATTAGATTTTTAGCTTGATTCTTGCAGTAAGTTAACAGTTGAATTCCGTATTTTTTTTTGTAAACACTCTAATTCATTTTATGATACACATAAATTAACTTATCTGACAAAGGTTATGAAATTTAAGTGAATCAGGTGTTTAAAGATAGATTTAAATTGCTTTTCCATGTTATTTTATTCACTTTTTTACGTGAACATATCATACGTGAAATCACTAAATATGAAAGCGTAAATGCACACCTCTGAGTAGATAATTTATCAATATCATGTTTGGTACAGATGTTCGATTATTCTACTAGCCGTCATTGAAATATGTGATCAACCTGTGAATATAGGTGGTATTAAGATATCTTTTTAATAACCCCATGTGATGAAACAAGTCTAGAAATGGACACCAACCTTTTTTTCTGTGATATCACGATGTCATTTAAAAAACAGGTTTAATGTTGATCATATGTGAAGTGATCGAACTATTGAAATTAATGAATGAACTCACTATTTATGATTTGATAAAATAAAATACTTTAGTTAAAAATGCTTATTATGTCGGCACCTGGCATCATTCACGTCTACATTCTCTGTTAATTTATTCATCAGAAATCGTAGACTGTAAAAATTACACCTTACAGCTCATCGAATTAAGGTAACTACTTTCTTTTTAAGTTTTATATAATTCAGTACATTGTATCTTTAGAATTTATTTGATCTGTGATACGAAAGTAAAAATGATTGAATAATTAATCATTTCTGCCAAAATTCATTTATCTCAACAAGATGATTATTTCTCCAAATTTGTCGTAAAATAAAAAGTTACCAACTAAAATACAGTTGAACGAAAATTTAAAATAATAAACTAATGACATCCTTGCATGTATATATAGTACACCAACCAGTCAGTAATAACTTAGGCTCTTACATAAATGTGCATCTGTTCGATTCATCGCAATTAATTTCTGTAAGATAATAGAAATGTGACAGTCATGAATGTCAACGTAATAATATCAACTTCAGTGGATAATTAAATAAAGAAAATGTAATCCAAAAGACTGAAATAATATGAAACTCAACTTTTAGGTGAATACAAAAAACAAATGCGTCTACATTGCCATAAATAGTGTCATCAACCATTAATTAATCAGTCTACTCCCATTCTAGCCAAAAAAGCATACAAATGTTAACGATGTTTGTGCAACGAGTTTTCTCATTTATCGATTAATAAATGTTTCCTATCTCACTAACTGATTAACCAGCTTTCGCTTGGTACCTAACTCTTACTAATTTCTTCTGCTAGGTGTTTGACATACTTCGCAAACATTCATTATCAGTTACCGGCAATTAGCGTATTTATCCAACACTAGATGTTTGTTCATTTCATCTCTGAAACTGCATGAATTAAACTGCTGAGTTGTATATTCATACTTACATAAACAGATATACATTTCTAAGCCGTCATTCGAGGTATATATATCCCAAATACAAACATAATATCACACATTTATAATGTCTTGAAAGATAAGTCTGAAATTGCCAGACAGCTCTACTGGTCTCTGATAAGTTGATAGGTAAATGCGTATTGGTTTAGTGATGAGATTGATGGAGATCAGAGCACAATCAGAGAAAAATCCACCATCCAAAACGTTTATCGATCACATATGTGTTCGATATTCTTAGCACGTTTTCAAAAGTTTGCTTATCGATTAACTCAAAGAATCTATATAGATGGGAATGTATAAATAATTTTTGGTGTCTCATAATTAAAATGATCGTTTTCCATCAATTAAACAAATTCATTTCTTCAGTACTTTTAATTTCTTCTTACTTTATCCAAATTAATGCTCAATATAAATACGGGTTTGATTTGTTTCCTCTTTTTAGTGGTGTTTTCTCTACTGGAAAACTGATAGACTGACTTGGTTTTTGAGCACATGAAAAACTACTTTAATCATCAAAGCTTGTACTGCGACACAACCTCAGAGTTTGACCACTTCGATTGTTTTGTTATTCTATAGAATTTAGTACATTTACTACAACTTAATTAATTATCACAACAAAAGTTATTTAACGTTAGTTCCAGAACTACGATTCCTTGTTTATTCATTTAACTAAAATGCTCTATTTATCGATCAGTTCGGTCATTCATATACATTTTCATATAAGGCGTAGGCAAATGTAAGTTCCAGATAAATTATTTTTATGACTAATAACACGCACGAAGCATAGACTAACAATTTTGGTCGAAGCTACATGTTTTCATTCTCACGAAGAAATGTGTTTCTTAACAAACAATCCAATTACATGATCAAGGTACCTTAACTTTCTTTGTACTTTTTAGACCATAACCAACTGTGAATATTGGTTAAATAAAGCACGTCAAGCATGTGAAAATCAGGCTGATTTGAATGTTTTAACTGCCGATCTTATAAAACCTGATGGTCTTTTAGAAACAATTGCATCAAGACTTATCAAACCTATTGAGTCTACTTCGGAAGCGCCTATTACTGATTTTACTCAGAATATCCATGAGCAATATTCTCATTACGATGATCCAGAAACAAGTGAACTATTCACAGAATCTACAGACAATGTAGATGGAAAACCTGTGAAATTACTTTCCAGTACAACATCGGACTTAAATCTTCCGAAGGTCAATCAGTATAATGAAGCTAGCAGACGAGTTGTTATTGGCTCAGCACGACTACTCAGTCAGGTATTTAAAATGTTCGTTCGATTTGCACGTATTGTCACTTTGTCTGGAACTTTCTAACAAAATGTACATGTATAGTATCATAATTAATATGCACTTTAATTATGTATTTCATCAGTTTTTCTTATGAATAATGATTACTTAATGTCACCAATTTCAGAGACGTTAGTATGGATAGTTGAGCATAAAGCCTTTTGACAATTTATATTATCAAAACAGATTAATTAACACCGTTCTATTTTTAAAATAAATCATTGCATCATGACCAATAAATGAAATCGTTCTTGAAAACTTGCGATGAAATTGGCAAGTTAATTTTTGTGTATGAGTAAATATATGTTACGCCTTTATTTGATATAAACGAATCCATCCTCAATTCATAATTTCTTCAAATACAAATAAGCCATTTGAAAGTTACTTAAGGGCTAAATTAGTAATAAATTCTGATGAATATATACCACTTAAAAATTAAATGACCCGGTATTTATACAGAATATCGACTAGAATGCGCATATTACAGTAATGCTATTTCTAACGATAATAGTGGATATTATGGGTCTGCCATCCATTTTCTATTAATTGAATTCGAGTATATTTGTAAATTTTCAGCTGTAGAAAGTTGAAAAATAGTTTTAAGGGTTTTACTAATCTACATTAATGATAAAATACGTTTTATATTAAGAACATTTCTAATAAAATGTTTATTATTTTTTATAGATTACTGTTATATCAATTTAAACATATCAGTTAATCTACGTAAGATACAAAAAAATACTTAATAAGATACATTAAGTTATAAGAACTTTAGTTTTTTCCATTGATTAAAAATTTGAGAATACAACCGTCGTTTATTCTGTGAAATTGTTTTGTTATGTATCATTTACTATAAAAGTAAGTTATATCTCATAATAATTAGTGCACTCATTAACCCAGCTTCGCTTTAAAAGCCTACGAAAAATGTGGAACAAAATGTCGAACAAGAGCAGAAAAAGCCAAGGCGCAAGCTGAATACACAGAAGTAAACAAACAAGTGAAGAGGAGCATCAGAACCGACAAACGTAAATATGTGGAAGATTTAGCAACGGCGGCGGAAAAGGCTGCAAGAGAAGGAAACATGAGACAATTGTATGACACGACAAAGAAACTCTCTGGAAATAGCCGCAAGCCAGAACGACCAATGAAAAGCAAGGAAGGCGAGGTAATCACCAACACTGAAGAACAACGAAACAGGTGGGTAGAACACTTCAAAGAACTCTTGAATCGACCAGCCCCACTGAACCCACCCAACATCGAAGCAGCACCCACGGACCTCCCAATCAATGTTGGCCCACCAACAATTGAAGAAATCAGCATGGCCATCAGACAAATCAAGAGTGGCAAAGCAGCAGGACCGGACAACATTCCAGCAGAGGCAATAAAAGTAGACGTAGCGGCAAATGCAAGGATACTCCACATTCTCTTCAATAAGATTTGGGATGAGGAACAAGTACCAACAGACTGGAAAGAAGGACTTCTGATCAAAATACCGAAGAAAGGCGATCTCAGCAAGTGTGATAACTATAGGGGCATCACTCTTCTCTCAATACCGGGAAAAGTCTTCAACACGGTATTGTTAAACAGGATGAAGGACTGCGTAGACGCCCAACTTCGTGACCAACAGGCAGGATTCCGTAAGGATAGATCGTGTACAGACCAAATCGCAACTCCACGGATCATTGTGGAATAATCAATTGAATGGAATTCGTCACTCTAAATCAACTTCATTGACTACGAAAAGGCATTTGATAGCGTGGACAGAACAACACTATGGAAACATCTTCGACACTACGGCGTGCCTCAGAAGATAGTCAATATCATACAGAACTCATATGATGGATTGTACTGCAAAATTGTGCGTGGAGGACAGTTGACAAAGTCGTTCGAAGTAAAGACCGGTGTCAGGCAAGGTTGCTTACTCTCCCCCTTTCTCTTTCTCCTGGTGATCGACTGGATCATGAAGACGTCAACGTCTGAAGGGAAGCGCGGGATACAATGGACATCTAAGATGCAGTTGGATGATCTAGACTTCGCAGATGATCTGGCCCTTTTATCTCAAACGCAACAACAGATGCAGGAGAAGACGAACAGTGTGGCAGCAGCCTCAGCAGCAATAGGTCTCAATATACACAAAGGGAAAAGCAGGACTCTCCGATATAACACAGAATGCACCAATCCATTCACAATTGATGGAGAAGATTTCGAAGATGTAAAAACCTTTACGTATTTGGGCAGCATTATTGATGAACAGGGTGGATCCGATGCAGATGTGAAATCGCGGATCGGCAAAGCACGAGCAGCATATTTACAACTGAGGAACATCTGAAACTCAAAGCGACTGTCAACCAACACCAAGGTCAGGATTTTCAATACAAATGTCAAGACAGTTCTACTGTATGGGGCAGAAACCTGGAGAACTACGAAAGCCATCATCCAGAAAATACAGGTGTTTATTAACAATTGTCTACGCAAAATACTTCAGATTCATTGGCCGGACACTATTAGCAACAACGTACTGTGGGAGAGAACAAACCAGATCCCAGCGGAGGAAGAAATCAGGAAGAAGCGCTGGAAGTGAATAGGACACACATTGAGGAAAGCACACAACTGCGTCACAAGACAAGCCCCCACGTGGAATCCTCAAGGCCAATGAAAAAGAGGAAGACCAAAGAACACGTTACGCCGAGAAATGGAAATAGACATGAGAAAAATGAATAAGAATTGGATGGAACTAGAAAAGAAGGCCCAGGACAGAGTGGGTTGGAGAATGCTGGTCAGCGGCCTATGCTCCATTGAGAGTAACAGGCGGAAGTAAGTAAGAAGTAACATACCTTAGTGTAGTGCCGTAACGTAAAATATCGATGTTTGATGAAAGTTTTTATATATCTCTTCAAGCAACAATTATTGTTTTTAATTAGAATTGATTACTTCTTGTCGGTGAACTATGGTTGTGTCATCAATTTGCAACAACCTTCATAAATTCCTTTTGAACACTAAAATAATTAGTCAGTTCTGTTTGACAAGCGTCACCTCACGAGACAACCATAAGGAGATTTGAACTAAAAAGAAATGTGAATATTCTGTTTTTTTGAGTAACAATTAGTATTTAAAAAATCAATTGATCGTCAGCGCCGGGTGTGGGAAAGGACAATCAAATAAAATATGATTCTATGTTTAAAAGTTTGTGACAAATGCCAGTGAAGCTTGGTTTTGGAAAGTTCCTACATACTGATGATTCACTATATTTCGAGATTGAATGTGATAAACAAGGGATCTATAGAAACCAGAATTTGTAGATTAATGTTCATGTGATTGCAATAGATAGTATTCTTTAATTAGCTTAATAGTTTCTTTTGTATAGAATTCTGAATAAAGCTTCCCTTGAATTTCTATTTGCACATCAATATGATCCAATCATACTATTAAGTACACTCGACTGACAACCGCTGGATTGCAGGTTCGAACCGCACTCGGTTTAAACAGTCAAATGTTATTGTTAACCTGAAACTAGTGCTTTCTCGTATAAAACGTTTTAGCAATCAATATTTTTTTTATTTTTAGATTTTATCAGAAAATCATTTGCTCAAAATACTAGATAAGAAATTAGTTTCACAAAAGCATTCTAATGTTTTGCATAAAGATGAGTTTGACAAAGTAGATAAGTTGATTATTCATAAACAAGAATGTTCTCCGTGTAACACTTCACCCACCTATGATAATGATTATGAAAAATCAATTGATACGAATGGTACCACAAAATTATTATCTCCCACAGCTTTATCATCAACGCAAAATCCTTTACTGTACAATGATAAGTTACCATCACATGGGCATATAACTAATTTACTCAAGAATATTATCGGAAAATGTTGGGAATACCGTGAAGATGTAGATATCTATCGTGAATATTTGGGAATCTTAGAACGTGAGTCATTATTTATTTGACTCGAGTGTGAACATACATTTTTGCATACAATATTTACATTGATTAATATATGGGTGATGGTTATTCTTAACTGAGATCACTTAAGAAATGGTTTCTTGTAGTTAGGAAATTTTCGGTAGTAGACATATCTTGTGAATATGAACTTTCTATCTCAATTTCTTTTAAAAGATAAAAGCGCAATCCAACATTGATAATATCTTTAGGTATTAGAGTAGCTAGCCGGGCGATTTACCTTCCAGATACGTTCGAGTGTTTCCTTCATTTTCGATGACTGAACTGAATGATTTATTCGAAAAGGTAGTTATGGTATTCTGAGCATATTTTGAGTAAACAGACTTTTCACTTGAAATGCGGTAACAACAGCTACATTAGAATGTTCTATTAACTTTACAACCACCCCTAACTAATATTCTCTCCAGACATCGTCCCGATATTTCATGCCATTATGCATTATCCTTTACGCATTTGAGTCATTTTAGTAAAAAATGTAACAAATTCTAGTCCTAGAATCTCATTTCTTTTAGCCACTTACCAATGGAAGGTGTAGAATTCTAGCTCATTGAAGAGTAACCTCACCAATGACAGTTCCTGTTAAAATGTACTCCATTTGTAAAATTTAGAACATGAACGTATACAAGGTGTATTTGCCATTCAAGTAAAAGCAGGCTGTATATTGATGTTATCATGGTTATAAGTATCTTTACTATCCATTGCTTGACTTTAACCATACATTGGTCACTCAGCACTGATATATTAGCTGGATATATCCTTTGTATGTATCAGATATAATAATTCTTATGTCCGCCAGTTACAAACAAGCATAGTTGTGTTTTATAAATCAAGTTCGCATTATTCAAACGTCATTTATTTATGTTAATAATGTTCCTGTCACATCTGAAAGTTGCACAAAGATATCATAAGAAATACTTCTGTCATTTTAGGGTTACGATAGAGAAAACGGATAATGAAATATAGGATAAATAAGACTGTGATGAGGAATTTTTATCTTTATTTAGAAAACATTATTTCTTTTTGTCAATGTATTTTTTTATCGATTTTATCATCTAATTTAGCTTTATTAAAGCATACAGAAACAATGTGTGATACAGTAGTTGAAAATGGTGGTCTTCGTAGTTTAATTTATGCTTGTCGTTCAAGTGATCTACCATCTTTACGTCATGCAGCTGTTTGTCTAATGAGTTTAGCACTATTTGGTGGGAGTGGAAGTCATAGTGAAATGATGCGTCAACATGCAATTGAATGGTTATTTTGTTTAGCATTTCATCAAGATGAAGTAATTAAATATTTTGCATGTTTAACTAGTGCTGTACTATCTACTAATCCGTAAGTAATCCAGCTTGATTGTTGTAAATGTTTTTCAGCTTTGGTTCATATAATAATTTCTTGATCGGTAATATACATTTATTCCATTTAAGCAATAATGAATGGTTTTTACTGTCGTCGTTTCATGTACCGTATGGTTTGATGAGCATGGTTATGGATCAATATTCTTGATTTGTTTATCGTAGCTCTTAAGTTTCTTAATTTAGATAATCCACATGTTTCATTTTAAAACTATGATTGATTGATCGTAGAAAAATTATTTGCGGTAGGTTTGTTGACTTGCTCACTCATCACTTGTTCTAAATTACGTTTAATATGTCAAATTTTTATAAATCGTAGGTGTTTAATAGTAAATAAGTAAACAATGAATCATGAACAAAAACATGGAACTATTTTAAACGTTTTAAAATATATGTACAGAAATGAATGTTGTTTTTTTTCATTAACAGAATGCATTATTAAACGCTTTTCGATCAGTTAAATCTAGCTACAGTTTTTGATATAGTCTAAGCTCATTAGTAATAAAGAAGGAACGAATCGAGCGAAGAAATTTCTTTTCAATTAGTTTTTCATCATGGCTCTACACTAATATATATATGATTTACAATAATGATATAATATCACAAGTTGAAATCATGAGTCAATTGAAGCTAGACCACCATGGAAAACCTGGAAGCACTGGACGGCCGTTTCGTTCTAGTATGGGACTCCTCAGCAGTGCGCATCCACGATCCCGCACCCAGCGGGATTCGAACCCAGGACCCACTGGCTTCGCGCGCGAGCACTTAACCACTAGACCAGATTTTCCATGGTGGTCTAGCTTCAATTGACTCATGATTTCAACTTGTAAAATTTCTAAAAATCTCCACAAAACCCATTCTGATAATGATATAATACTCATCGAGTGGATACGTTACGTAATAATTACATAATGACATTTAAATTAACATTGAGTAATTGGAAGAAAGAGGATTATTAATATTCAAAGTAATTATTAAATCAAGAAGTTGCTACGTTGAGTAATATAAGAAACAGAGAAGGGACAGAATTTTAACGGATGGTCAATAGGATAGTAGTTACGTAAAAATCAAGAGATGGATGTTGAGAAGTTATAAAGTTCAAAAGCAATAGAAACAAAAATTACAAACATTTAAAAAAAAGAGTGGGAGGAGTATGAAAAATAGTTCTTATGACGGAAACCTTATACTGAATGCCAGGGCAGGTCCGTCACCGCATTACAGAACATCATCTGACATGGCTAAGCAATGGACAAGTGAAAGTGATTAGAAGTTCTAATCTCTCTCACTTGGTTGACACAGGTCATCAAGTCGAACTGAATAAAGCTTTTAAGTTTATCTACAATATTCCATCAAATCTACCACATGGTTTACGATTGCGCCTTTTGCACATTGCGGAAGCCATCGCAATCTATGTCTACAAACCTGACCTTTGCATCCAAAAGAAATTCGTACAACCACTTTCCCTGCCCTGGCATTCAGTATAAGGTTTCCGTCATAAGAACTATTTTTCATACTCCTCCCACTCTTTTTTTTAAATGTTTGTAATTTTTGTTTCTATTGCTTTTGAACTTTATAACTTCTCAACATCCATCTCTTGATTTTTACGTAACTACTATCCTATTGACCATCCGTTAAAATTCTGTCCCTTCTCTGTTTCTTATATTACTCAACGTAGCAACTTCTTGATTTAATAATTACTTTGAATATTAATAATCCTCTTTCTTCCAATTACTCAATGTTAATTTAAATGTCATTATGTAATTATTACGTAACGTATCCACTCGATGAGTATTATATCGTTATTGTAAATCATATATATATTGGTGTAGAGCCATGATGAAAAACTAATTGAAAAGAAATTTCTTCGCTCGATTCGTTCCTTCTTTATTTACCAAATGGCAAAATGGGAATTTTCATTAGTAATAGATTAATTGGAGCATCTGTCACTTTCACAAATCTCTACCTAAACTGAGTTAATGTCTTACTAACGAAATTACTGCTATGAGTTCATATAAAGTCACGAAATTGTTTAGTTTCTTGCTTTAAAAAACTCAACTAAAACGTTGTTAATTAAAAACTATCGTGTCTAAATACGATAAAAATCATTAATAGAGATTGTGAGTAATTGGATTCTACATATTTCTTTAGTGTCTTACTCATTGCGTTATGAAAAAATAACAATTTATGAGTATTTTCTCAATACCACTATCTAAGGTTATATTTCAATGTCTATATTACTATGACTAATAAGAAACGTAATCCACACTAACTAATGAAAAATGTTACTCGAGTCAATCTAACATATATTGATTTTTATACTTGGTGACTGTATGAATTGTGTATACTCGCAGAATACAACTTGTGTACAGATATGTAATGCGCTCCATGTGGCCTCAATCACAATGGAACTATTTCTTTCAGGTTCGCATGAATAGTCTTCATGTTGGCAATTATATGATAAATTCAATAAACACTTTTTCAAGCTTCTTAAGTCGGAAAGCCACTAGAGGAAGGTGTTGGGGCGACCCATATTATTCCTTCAAAAAAGCCCTAAGGAACCCTAAAGACGCTGGGAAACATTTTATCCAATCAGCATTGAATAGAAGTCTCTCAGAAACATCTAGAAAGTGAAAAGTTACGTATCATATTTCTGATTCGATGGTTACTTATCCTGCTACTATGTTTGGTTCTACAACCTTCCAGGAGCCCAAGGCCATCTGTAATGTTATAAATATCCTAAATTTTCTGTGCATAAACGAACTTTGGAACAAAGCGTTCTTTCCTTACTTCTCACCTTTTCTCTCGTGCTCAAGTTGTGTAGATTTCGCGTGGGGTTATTAGAATAACTTAGAAAACCTGCTCAAGCATTCAGTCGGAAGATTCATCAACCACGTTTGTTAAAACTCATCCAGATAAATTGTATCTCAATTTTAAAAAGTGCTAAGAGCCTGAACATCGTAACGTTAGCCATTGTGCTGATGTTTGTGATGTTTCCACTTGGTAATTAAATTTCCGAGTGAATCTCTGTAGAGCTAGGCTGTTTACAAAAACTAGACGTGTTTTTTTTTACATTGAATAGTTCTTGATGGAGGTCAAAGCTTGATAATCGATCGGTGTATAAGAAGGAGGAGTAAGTGAAGGAGAGGAAAAATCTGAAATGGGTGAGGAGTGAAAGGAAGTAGCTGAGTAGAGAAACGGAAAAACAGAAGGCGAAGAGGTAGGAAAACTATGAGAGAAGTGGAAGGCAGAGAAAAAGGAAGAGGAGAAGAGGGAAGAAAAAGTAGAAGTGGAAAGAAAAGGTGATAGAGAAATAACTAATAAGAATGGACACGTTTTAAGTTTAGGTAGCCTTTCGAGCCTAATCTCCTGTTCTTATAAAAGCAGTAGTTTACGCTTTACTCCTAAGTACTTAAATCATGTTTAGACTGCTAAGAGCACTTTTTATGTTCTTCGTCAATTTGACTTCCTTTTCAGGTAATATTTTTATAATCTCTAAGAGAATGTTTATTGTCAGTAAGACATTTGCAGGCTCACTAATTATATGCTGCAATTATTCTCTTCTGTTTTTAAGCGAATTGACCGCTGCAGTAAATGCTTCTTGTACACTCAACCTAGTGATGCCTTTCGTACGTTCACATTCACCAATAGAATTTGCTCGTCAACATTTAGTTGCTGCTTTTCAACACACTTGTAAGAAGAACGCATCCGATACTTCAGAGTCACAGACATCTTTTTCTAACAATCAGTCAGACACTGCAAATTATTGCTGTGAAAATCGGTATACAGGGGGGTCGGCCGATTGGTTAAAACGTTTAGTACCAGTTATGTTCAGTAAACAATTTGAACCACGTGTTTTGGTTGCTTTTCATTTTGCTGTTGAAGCGACACTAAAATCTGATATGAAGTGCAGCCATGTAAGTGTGTTGTTGATTTAATTTTATCTTCCTGTGTATAACAACTTGTAATAATTCAATATCAAGTTATTACCAATAAACATTTATCTTTTTCATAGTCGTTATTGATTGTAGTCCAGTCCAGTTAGATAAGCATACATGCTATGTATTACTGATAACCTACAGATGATGTACAATTTTATTCTAGTTAATTTATGATCCATTTAATATAACTAAAACAGTTTATAGAAAAGTATTTATTCCTCTAACTAGGATACTATATTAAAAAACTGTCAGAAAATTTATGAAAAGCAAAAATAAAATAACATATTTGCATTACTTGTTGACGTACACATTTCGAGACCATGTAAACAAGTTTTTTGATTGAACCTATAATCAACGAAAGATTACATTCTAACAACTCCATGTAAATTTGTTTGGGCAATCAGATGTATTCGTTTGTTTTACGTAGTTAAATGAACTTGACAAACGTCTTCATATCTAGCCAGAAGTGTTAAAATGAGTTGCCTGCAACTACTTACTTTGCCCAATTTTCTTCAACCCTATGTTTCAAAGTATTATCTATAAATTTATGAGTGCTCTGGTGGTTCTTCACATGTAAAATATGCTTTCTGGTCGTCTAACTTCATCAGTTGAGATGGCTGGAATACGTGTTACGTATACCCAACAACAGACTGCAACGATGTGCGATGTTTTTATGGTATAGGTTTATGTTGGAAGAAAGCCAGGGGTGGCCAGACCAAAACGTGGCACAAATCCATGAAGTCACTGACAAGTGGATTGAGTCATGTTGTTAGGTGTAGACTACCTGGTTGGCATCCGCGAGATGATAGCAACCGATGGTTAGAGACCTTGAATGACATGCCTCAAAATAGTTTGCAATGATGCACGCGCATCAACTCTTTGTGTTCTCCCAAATTCTAATCTTCTGAATTCTTCATGTCCTTTGTTTTCTTTCCAAATTGATTTCACTGGATTATACTCCTTGGATAACATCTCCAAACCCTTATCTTCACGATTACTGCTTATACTTTTACTACTTCTACCACTATGGGATTCGAAACGACAGTTTTATCTCTGTGCTGATTTGGTATGGCAACTCGAACTGATGTACGTATGTACGAAGTTCTACGTTGTTACTGACCGACTGACTTTTTGTCTTCATATTTTTATTCATAATATAGTATAAATATGAAATACTGTCTTTGCTACTAAGTGATTTGTATTTAGTTCACGCTAAATTTTTTCCTGATGTACTCCTGTACCAGCTAGCAAATCAATCTCACATCTTTACACCTGGCTTTTATTTTTTTTCTTTGTAGTTGAATAAATACTATATATATATATATATATATATATATATATATATATATATATATATATATATGTCTGCTATCTTCACTGGTCGTTCTACAGCTGTAGATTACTATGAAATCATCTACTGTGCCATATACTTGTCATTCACTAGGTAGTCACATATCTTACCTGCTCCTGATGATGCAAATTAGCGAAACCTAAACTATCTTTTTATTTACTGATTATCTCACAAGATAATAATAAACCAGGGCTGATTAGACTGAAACGAGTGTAGTGGCTGACGCTCTCAATACTTCAAAATGTTTGTAGGTAAGAAGATTATGTTTGAGTTACCTGAGTAGTATAACTTGAGTCTGAATCGCATCAGTTCTTCAAAAGTGGAACTAAACTATTATTTACTATTAGGCAGACCTTTGCTAAAACTTATTTACCATCCATAAAGAAATTAAGACACTGTAATGAAGATACATAACAAACTTTTGAAACGTTTTTAAGTCAGGCAAGTAACCTAAATATTTGACATTTTGTTTACTTATTTTCAATTGATTGTATCACTATTATTATTCTTTTTCAAGGCGTTTTACGAATCAGATATCGTAGAAATCTTGCGTAATGTTGTCTGTAGTTCAACTTTTCTTGAGTCGAAATTCGCAGCAATGGCCCTACATATTTTAGGTGAAGACGTCCCTTGTCGATTGTCAGCCCAAGTACCGTTATGGGATTATGCTGAAGTTGAATGCTGGTTGACTCGAGTCAGTTCATATATGTATATGATTTGTGTATATATCATTACTAATAATAGACTATCAGATTCATGTTTTATTAAATTAATTAAATATTAAAGACTGTAAAATGTATATTTGATAGTCAGAGAAATCATAAATTCATCTTATTTTCTATCAAAACGGACAATTGTCGGGACCATACTGATAAAATAGAGGTTAACTACAGTTTACCAGTTTTCATAATATAAGTTTCTGAAATTCTTTCATAAAATGTGATAACCTCGTTTGAATTTCTAGTCTCATAATACTTCAGAAAAAACTGTCTGGGGCTCGGTGTTATTAACAAGTTTAATTGTTTCTCCATACGTCTAAGATATGAACTAAGTAGGTTATAAAAAGTGGATGTTATGAATTATTGAGAAATAATGCATTACAGTATATCTACAATATTGGTCTGGATAAAAGCAATTGAGTACTGTCTTCCTGTCTTAGTTTCAAATCCAATGACAAGTGTCATCGAATCATCTGGAATGAAATATGTCATAATATTGTCTCCCTCGCTCAAGTAGTTTTTAATTCTGGCACTCTGCACATGGCTATAGTTTAACAATTCGGGATTGGTGTAAAGAAGAAGGATAAGCCACTTTGCATCAATTTCTACAATGATTAGGTATCTTGTAGTATCACCGCCATATTGTTTATCACTAACAGGCAGAGAACAGATATGTTTCTCACATGACTCTACTAACAGAACTACTACGCCTGCGTTTTTTCTCACATGTATATTATGGTTAATGCTTTTGAGGTCATGCAACGGTATACATTTCGTGTATATTTTTTTGCTAAGCTCTCAGAAAATAAAGCCGTGATATTTATTTTGGACAGCTCCTGTGTGACTTGACTAAATTCTATCATTTTCAGTAGGATAAGAATATGGGGATAGTTTATACCACCGAGCGGTTAGACAATCATTTGAAACCATGGAGCACTAGATAGCTCTTTTGTCTTAGTATCGGACCCTCCCATCATCATGTACCCAAAACGTCATCTTGATCATTGATTTTGGATCCAATTATTTATACATATTCAATTTCAATTTATTCGCTGTACTGATCAACAATCATCCATAATACTTTTGCTGAAACTGTAATACTACACGATTTTGGAGTTATTCAGACAAAATCAGTCTTTTGGAAAAATTGATCTTCCTTTTATATGATATGGTTATTGGATTTTGTTGTGGATGCGGAGGAATAGACCAATAATTATCATGTTAAGTCCAATGGTGTCCTTGGACTTTAAATGGACATTCCCTATTGGTCGATATATGTTCACTTGTTGAGTATTGTACAAAATGTTGTTTTCTATTTTTATGGTACGATGTGGTATGCTTGGTTGGTATATAAACAAAGTATGTTTGAAATATAATGATTCATATCTCAGAGGCTATGGCTTGTGTTCTGGACTCAACTGGCTGGGCTGGACAGGGAAGCAGGACCAATCAGAACTGTAGGCCGTTCGTTCGTGTTTACGTGTCACTGTAGTCGATCGATAAGTACGCTGCTCTTTAATTTTTCAGTCAAGGACACAACAATTAGCACAGGGTAAAAATCGACAGCAACCTAAAGTCATAACAGATTTCAAGACGACATTTGTTTTATTTTCAGAAAACATTTATGTAAGCCATATAAATGGATAGTATTTATGTTGCAGGATTGAAAGTGCTTTCAATACAAAGGAAATACATGTTTAATAAATGTTATATATATATATATATATATATATATATATAAACTGATACCGTAAGATACAGTCACTGCCAGTGAATCTATTTTTAAAACTGAATATTTTCAAAAATTGAATAATGTTACGTTGTTCTTTATAACATTGACTAAATTATCATTATGTCGTTCATAATGCTTTGTTAACTGTACATAAAACAATGAATGGTATCAATAAAACAAAATTTAATTTTTCTTTTTTCTTAGAGAGGATTTGAAGATTTGGCTAGTAAATTTTCAAAGCTACGTGTTGATGGTGATTTATTACTTAGATTAGATGAATTCAAATTAGAGAAGGATTTAGGACTTGAAAATGGAATCACGCGATCTAGGTAAATGTCTTATTATTCCATCTCACTGTTTCTTCTTTTTAAAAAAACAACAACAGGTTATTACGTGAATTATGCTCTTTGAAGATTAATGCAGATTATTCAGCTGTTGATCCAACTGGAATTTCTGCTTGGCTACGTGAAGCTACACGTATCACTGCTTTAAATAATACGAATACACCAAGAAATCCAACGACATCAGATTATGTTGTAATTAAAAATGATTTTCAATGGACAACGGCTTCTACTAATGCATCAGAATATACCTCGAAATATTGTTATACACATGATTTATCCTGTTTAAATCAATCATTCGATCTTCTTCAATATTCATATAACTTTATTTCAGCCGGTGTACATTATCCTTTCTTACCTTATTTATCAGATAAAATGCTTTTAGAAGATTGTCACATTAAAAATGGAATACATCGTAAACGAATTTTAGAAGCAATACAATGTAAGTAAAACGTAGCGTTTACGTGTTTTAAAGTTGGTTCGAAATGCTTACTATATTAGATAACTGTATTTTCGATTAATATTTAGATTACTATTTTGTAAGAAAAAAACACTTTTGGACTGAAAATAAGTCAGGTTATCATACGGCAAGGATTCTGGTCAATAGCGACTCAAACTTATCTTAGAAACGTCACTCAAATTATCTAAATTGAAATAAAACAAAGTTGTACATCATAATTATTCGCCTACCGTATAGTATGTCATTAAGCCTCTTTTCTATAAGACAACTGAGTTGTTAATTCGATATAGATTTCTTATGACACCAATACTTAGAATTATTACCACGATCAATTTTAATTCCTCAATGGACTTATTTATTACTACTTCGTTTTATACTTTCGTAAACGATAATACGTTGTTTTCCTTGTCACCAGAAATTAAAGCCAATATCTAATATTCTTACGTAAACAAACCAAGACTGTAAGCAACGCTTAATCATAAATAAATTTCATGAAACTATATCAAAATACGCGCGCACATGATCTCACACAAAATCCAAGTACATTTTCAATAGCTTCCGCCCAATGGATCTGTTATGTATTTTTCTTCCTCAAATATTCCATATCCAATTACTGGCTAATAGGTTTTCAATATATTCAACTGAGTTTTGTTCTTTTTCAAATCAACATCGATAGTATACATATACTAGACATATGGTTCACAACAGTTGAAGATTAAAAAAATGAAAAAGTTCATTGAACATGCTATTTATTGATAGTAAAACCTTATCGCGTTGCCTCATACAAATAACATTTTCCCTCGCTCTAATGGTAGATAAACCACAACACGTTGACTTAACTATTTCTTGTTATTGTTTTACATTTCAAAAAATGTTATTCATAAACATATTGCACAATTTTCATTCATATCATATGATAAATAATACATAAAGGTGGACTTAAAAATGTCTATCCTCTCATTCAGTTGATTGGTGAATTTTTGAAAGAGATAATTATTTGATTGATTTGATGTAGTGTACTGCCTTTTCTACCTAACCTCATGTGATGGTGAAATCAGTTAATTGGTTACAATCTAGCGTATAAAGTTTAAATAAACTTTTAGTTTTCCAAAGTTCAATTTTATGTAATTTATTTACCATTACAGAGCACAATGAACAAACCGTCAGCTGTTTAGTAACTAACTTATCCACAAGTTGCATTTATAGATAGTACGTTTCTCTTTAGTTGATCATTTTATCACAGCAAACAAAGTTTCCACACCTGATTACAATTAAAAGCTTGTGGGTATAATGTGTTAGTTATATATGGTATTAACTAAAATCTGTCGTTATAAACTGATGAGCATAATATTGTGAATTTAGTCCATCGTTTTGATTTTTATACACTACGATTCCATGAAGATCATTGTCCTTAATTATTAAGTGACAGCAGAGTTTTGTTATCACTCAACTGCTAGGCGAAATCTGAAACTCTACACCAAAAGATAACAAATTTCCACTATGAATAAAAAATTTTAATCATAATCGCGATAAGCATTTCGTGTGGTTGGTGAAAACAATTCATATATTTATAAATCTTTCAGTTAACACGTTATACGGTACGAAGTCTTGAGGATATATTGTTTTAACGATATATGTTAATTTTTGTCTTGACTTGGTTGATATGCTTGAATGCTATTACGAGTTCACCTTACTCGGTAACGGAACGAACGTCAAAGATACAGTGACACGATAGGCTATTATAATCCGTTGTCCCGGCCCCGCTAACTAGATCAAGAAGCCTTGATGAGGCGTAGATAATTTATTCTACAAGTACCCAGAAAATAAGAGGTTACTAAGCACACGAATCAAGCTTATTTATACAATGATAGAAACGCCATTGGGAGAGTCACAAAATAGCGTACTAAAAAAATCCGTCAACTAATGACAGTCAAGGATTTCCGAGTGGGAAATGTAAGCTGTAGGTCAACCAAGCGTCTCTTCGCGCGAGAACACAAAGTTCAAAATTTCAGAATAAAATTACAAAATTAGGACCTTTTCCATGTGAGTTCTGTGGATCTAAGGTCCTCAACATAGGTGTAAGCACTCAAATTATGACGAGACAAATTTGATTCCAATATCACCGATTACCAAATAATATCAACTAAAGAGATTTTTGCATTGATCATCATGCTGTCTTGGGCCATGTCACTGAAATATTAGGCCATACACAACTACTGTGCTTATAAATTTATTTTTATGGCTTTTATTATCATTATTGATATAACATTCACATGTTCAGTTAACTGTACTTTTCTTATCCTTCATTTTAGCTTCCATATCAATACATAATCAGTTACGTCTTACAGATAATGATTCCAAATTAAACGCTTCAAGTCATCCAAACAAGTATATTGATATATTTATTTCTTACCGTCGTTCTACTGGTTCTCAGCTGGCGAGTTTATTAAAAGTTCATTTTCATTTACGTGGCTATCGAGTATTTTTAGATATTGATCGTTTAACTGCTGGAAAATTTCATGAATCATTACTTCATTCTATTAGATCATCATATAATTTTGTTCTTGTTTTAACACCAAGAGCATTAGATAGATGTTTAAATGACATACATTGTAGAGATTGGATACATAAAGTTAGTTAATTTTTATCTATACATGCGTTTATTTCATTATTATATGGTATGTGAATATATATAGCCCTTTCAGGGGAATACTCCACTTGAAATAATCTTTTCGAAACTAGTTTTTAAACAACATCACATACATCTACAAATCATAGAATCATTCTACAGTTTTTTAATAATAATTTGTTGACCTAAAATAAATTCGTCTTAATTAAACTCATGAATATACAGAAGAGTTTGATTTGAAGCAATACGTTTAAATGGATATAAAATAATAAACAAATAGACAGTCACCAATTAGTAATTTATAAGTCATACATTCTAAATAGTACGCATTATTTTGTTTTAGTAATTTCCAACATAAAATAAAATGGGTTGACTTATTTTGCTTGTAATCTCTCTTTTCAATTCTTCATTCAAGTTGATATGATTTCCTCTATTTTGTTTTCTACTTCTACTGTATTTTGGACTAAATTTCAATTGTTTATTGTTTATGTATCTCAACTGTGTTCAATGTCCAAACAACATGATTATTTATAATTCGTAGTTTTATTTAGTTAATAGATACTTACGTGTAAATAATTCGTCATCTAGTAAAAGCTTTTTAAAATTAAAATTATGTACGCCAACAATTTCATTAGTGTAACTGCTAATCACAATTATAAATGACCATTATTAAGTAAACATTTTATAGCTGGTTTCACTACTCATTGTTTTTGCAAGTTGCTGAAACAAATCTTAAAGTAGTAGAAGTAGTAAAGGTATCAGTAATAGTAGTAGTAGTAGTAGAAAGGATTAAGTATAGAAAAAAAGATTTAAGGAGATTTCAGGACTCAGGTTCTAAACGAAGATAAGAAGTGGATGCAATAATGCAATCGCGAACGATCATATGTCATGCCACTCAAAGTCTCTAACCCTTGATTACAATAATTATGTCCTCACTTTTATTTTAAGTTAATTGGATTGGAAAGGGAAATACAAGTAAACGTAATAATTGCTATGAAACAAAATTTAAGACTATATTAGGCAATCGTTTCATCTATAAACTCAGTGGACATTGATGTCTTGACCACAGTGATGTCAGTTGTTGTGTGTCTCTTACAAATAAACTTAAAATCACTTTATGAAGGGGTTGGATCTTAGAAAATGCGATCTAACTTATTCAATGATGATTCACATACAGCAGGTGCCTTCAAAATGTGTATGTGAAACATTGATAGCATTAATAGAATCATAAATTAGTTATTGTTGTATTATTCATCCGTTTACTAAATTAAACATTTTAATTACTGTACATTTTTTTATTTATCAAGGAAGTTGTATGTGCCTTGGAAAGTGGATGTAATATAATACCAATTACTGATAATTTTACATGGCCACCAGCTGAGTCTTTACCAGAGGATTTGAGGTCAATAACAACCTACAATGCAGTTAAGTAAGTTCAGTGAAATAAAAATGAACTCAAGTAACAAAATAATAGATTATTGTAAATTTATATATATGTCTACTTATATTGTTTGTCTGAGTGATGTACTGCAAATAATTTTTTTGAATGTTTATGTTGGGGATGTTAGATCCCCAGAATTCACTTGGTAAATGCCTTAATTTTATAATTTTATTTTGGAAAGTTAAATTTCCTTGTTTTCGCGCCAAAAGCGCACTTTTCACCTTCATGTCGTATTTCCCACTTGGGAGAATCTCTAACACCGATGGTCCATTGTGTATTTTTAGTATGCTATTTTTACTACGCTTCCCAAGGACAGTTTTATGCTGTATATATACGTTTAATTTGTGTCTGTTATTATTCACTCGTGCTTCTGGCTTACGGAATATACTTTCCCCTTCCAAGCTTGGACTTCTTCCTCTAGTTAGCGGGGCTGGGACGCATCAAATAGCTAGATTACTGGTCTACGGTCACAAGTCTTTGTTCCGTCCGCTTACTAATCGAACTCGTAATAGCTTCAAACCTAGCAGTTTATTCAACATTTCATTTAATATTTCCACCGACAGTTAGTTGCACAATTTCAATTCTAGATATATACAGTATACATCAATTTACTCATACCGATCAATTCCATTTTCACATGACATTTTCTAGGTTAGCTGGTTAAACCTGATGCACCTATAACAAGGTATTGCTATAAAACCATATATGGCAATTAAATACAGAATCAATAATTCTTTTCAGTTTATCACATCTATATCGCTCACGGAAATAACTCAGATCAAGTACGTATTACATGAAAACTAGTTTGGTTATGTTAGTATTTTGTCATTCAGACCAATTTCTGACACTTGGTTATTTTTCATTTGCCTGTATACAAGTCGGTATGTGGAAAAATGTGATATTTGTAATATAAATGTGTAATTCTAATTGCATATTCGTTAATGATGTGATTTTAATATTCACTACTATTGACGATTTGATAGGTAGATTATAAGTTTTCGTTTAGACTAAATGTTTGTAGGGACTAGTTTAAATTTCAAGACAAGACATTTTTCCTATAGAAACACTATTTCGCTTGAATAACATGAAATCAAAATAGTCAAACTTGTTTGTAGATACTAAGACTTTGATCCCATTAGTTTCTCTGCACTGTATAAGCCAACAGACTTTTGGGCGAACATGCTTATTTATCCTTTGGATAGGTGATATATACTCAAACTCTTCCAAATTAAGATATGACAATTATATATGATTATTACTATTATTATCTTGATTGTTTACTAACAGTGATGTATAAAAGTGTTCTTCCATTCATATTTACGTCCTATAATCATTTTCACTCACTATATGTCCACAACCGTATTTCATGCATAGTAACCAACCAATTCAAAATATGCGAACAACCTTTTTTTCTTCTCACTATGTCGCATCATTTTTCTCTGCTCTATTTTTTGTGAAATACTTTAATGTAACGCAGATATTAAATATTGATCAATTTTTTAACAACTCCAATTTGTCACTCTATTTACTGAACCAGTCTTAAATAAGTTTTGCAGTAAAAAATAATATATAAAAAGAAGCAACAATAAGATAGTTAATACATAAAATAGTATGGTTTTTCTGCATATATTTACTCTTTGAATACCGATGTTTCATTCTAGTTTGATTTGAAGCTTAATGACGCTTTTTTTAATGAGACAAGAAAAATAAAGAGAAAATTCCTTTAGAAGGTCTGTTTCATTTAATAATCAACTAATAATTTATAGGTGAAGTTACTTTATTTGTTAAAGTTCGATTCCATTCAGCTAATATACTTATACCCGTGGAGTATCTATGATACTAACTTCTTTCTATCCACACACATACATAAAAGTATATGATTAGAAATAATATGGTTGTATGTGATTAGTAGAATAAAAAGGAGTTTTTCTATTGTTAGTTGTTGAGGACGTTAGATTCCCAAAACTCATATTTCGTAATTTTATCTTTGTAGAGCTTGTATGCAGATGTATACTTGGGCATTTAGCACTCACGCGCATAGTCGATTCACGAACATATCGATTAAATGTTTAAAAAATTCCATGGCAATATCGATTATATATATTTTGTATAAATACTCTTGATTTGTGTGCTTGATGAACCTGGTATCTTCTGGTTGTCTGTAGAATACACTTTGTACATTTTACCAAAACTTCTGGATCGAGTTAGCTGAGTCGAGGATAACGGACCAGTATAGCCTATCGAGTCTCTGAATCCTTGATTCTTCGTTCCGTTCCGAGTAAGACGAATCAGTAGTAGCATTCAAGTTTAACGAACATAACATTAGTTGATAAGGTTGCTTGAAAAAAAAACATTTAAAACTATGAATGATCGTATCGATCATGAAAAATACAACTTTAATCATTTAATGTGTTCCTGTTTTAATTAAAAAATATTTATTCATACACCAAGTTACAATCACAAATCTTTTGTAATGACAAACTTTATAAGGGAAAATGTAGTGAATTTTTTTGCATAGAAAATTACATTTATCTTAATGTGTTTATTTATTCAACGGCATTAGCAAAATAGATTCAATATACTTATTCCGAATTTAATACATGGGTTAGTGCTAGCCGAAAACAGGTTGTGGTCTGCTCACAGTTGCAGTAGACAGTCCCCGTTATCTGACCTACGACTAGCATATCCTCATCGGCCACCTAAACGACTGTCCTCTGTGCCTAGACGCCCGAATCGAGCATTCAGATCTCCGATTAGTACTACAATATTTGTTGAACGCACTTTCTGTAGAAGAACTGTTAGTTAGTGGTAAAACGTATCCTTGATCGCATCCGGGCTGCAAGCTGTTTTAACATAGGCGGAGATGACGAAAAGACATCGTTTCTCACACTGAGTTCTTCTTACCGTGATGGAACTTTCTAATTTAACAGCACATAACCGACTTTTAATGCGGATCCAATTGATCAGGGCTGCTTCAGCTCTAGCGCTTAGTGCGACACGAACTCCAGAGAAACCAGACAAAGATGCCACAGGGTCTCTGGACAAACGCACGTAAAACAAGCCTTTTGAGACGACAGATTAAGAGCGAATTTGTAGTACTTCATCAGTCTTGGATACGGCTTTCGGACAGGCAACATACATCGATATTAAGACTTTCTAGACATAGACAACCCTATCTGCATTAGTGTGCGAACGTTGAAGGCAGCCAATTTGAATGGTATACGTGTTTTCAGAAAAACTGCTTCAGTATTTGGTGGTAGCATTAAATTTTCGACCAGTCAGTGGCTTAAGATCGTTTAGATAGAACAGAGTTTCCACCACATGCGATCTGTTGTATAAGTTGAAAAAAAGAATACACAAAGTGAGAATAGAATCTATATACAGTTGTCTTAGCTCGTGTATCCATATTAACTTAGATATTTATTTTATAATAATGAAATATCTCAATCCTACAGACAATCATTTAGGGGTTCAATAACTCACTAGTAGTATCACTGATTATTATTGAGTAAAGATGGCTTTTATTTCACCAGGAGTTATCAGTTCCTTCAAAATTAGAAAACATATCCTTCTAATGAGTGTCAGTAAGTATCACAGTTGACTTATTCTGATATCATAACATTGATTTTTAATTTTGTAATGTGTAATCACTTATTAAGAGTATCTGTTAATTAAAATTTATAGAATTAGATTCTTAAATGAAACTGTTGTTAAATTACTTGAAATATTTTTTTTAAAATTAACATATTCTTTCAAACTTTTCTTTTTTTTACTTAATTTGAAGCCTTATGGAATATTTTATCTATCATGTCAACTACTAGGTTTTAGAAATCATTTTTATCTTCATAAAGCTTTCTAGTTTAACGTAAATAGTGCAATTATATTATTCAGTAATTCTCTCTTTAACCAAACTATCTTCACAACTACTTAAGAAATGTAAGATAATTTCATAAATAATGTAACAACATAACATAAACAATTATATGATAAAGCTTTTAACATCAACCATATATTACACCATACATATTGTTTCACGAATATCCATACAAATGAAAGTACAATTTAATGTAGTTTTTACTAATTGTAAAAATGTACATTATTTAACTTCTAACCACTTTGTCATTTATAGAAGTTTAAATATCAAATAGAAATTTATGCATAAACTCTGTTTTAACTAATTTCTCATTTTCATGAATTTACCAATTATGTGGTCTAGTTGGTTAGACGCCTGGCGCGAATCTGATAGGTCTTGGGTTCGAATCTCGCGGAGGGCGGGATCGTGGATGCGCACTACTGAGAAGTCCCATACTAGAACGAAACGGCCATTCACTGCTTCCAGTTTTCCATGGTGGTCTAGCTTCAAATGACTCATGATTTCAACCAGTGAAATTATGCCAATTGTTAGTTAATAATAATTATCATGAAATATAATAACTTGTATTTTAATAAATTACAATTACATAATGAATGAATTATTTATTACATTATTTATTTATTTATTCATTTCTTAGTTGGATTCATGATTATCAAGAGGCATGTATTGATAAAGTGGAAAAATTCATGATTAAATCAATAACTTCAACTCCTTTACCATGTAATCAAATTAAACCATTTGAAAAATAAATTATTTCTTATATTTTTCATATTCACCTTACTTTGCATATTTTTTTGAATCATCATTTCCTTCACTTCCTCTTATATTCTATATGATTAATGACTTATTTCTCAAATTTCTATGTTACTTTTCTGTTCAGAGAATATATACCAGCTTATTTAATAATAATATTAAGTTAAAAAAGAGTTCATATATATATATTTATAATTTGACTGAATTATACTACTTATATGCATTTAATATTTTATTCTGTTTTTTTTCCTTTTCTTATGATTATTATCATACAGAATAATTTAATCAACCCATTTATACTGATCTCATAATTATATTTTAAAAAATTCTTAAAAAAAGTAAAAATAAAAAAGAAACAAAAGAGATTTTTCTTTACATTTTTTTTGAGTTTGAAAGTCATTTCATTTGATAAATAGATGAATATAAAGATTTATGTGATAGGACTAGTTCATTTTTTAATTAAATTCAGTCGTTTATTTTATATACTAATCTAACTCACATACCAATAATAGCTTTATGTACTTGACTTTAAGCCACACTATCTTCGGGAGAGTTAATAAAGCTGTTGAAGGATGAGGAGACTTAAATCTCTGATCTACTGATTGGATATCAAATAATTTAACCATTGCTCCGCATGAAGGTACTAACAATGTTCCATTTATACAAAAAATAATTCACCTATATGAATTGTAATTATAAGCAAATCGGTAGATGATCATTCAAAGTTTTATATTAAACCAACATGATGATGTAAACTAGCAATCAAATGAGAAAGTACGGCATTAATTTTATGTTCACAAACTCGTTTCTCGAATCATTTATATACAAATATGCGAGTGTACTAAAATGTTGTGTTCTCAGAACATAAAACTCTAGTATTTTGAGTTAGTCAATTAACGAGATATACTTTTTCCTAAAAAGACGTAAAGCTGTAGCAGTAAGTTTAGTACTCAGCCTGTGTATCCTTTCAAAGAATAATTTCCCTAAGAATATCGAGGTGCAATTTTAAAGATTTAAATTACAGTGGCCATAATTATCTTCAAGTATCTGCTATCAGCATGTCCAACGTGGTCCGGTCAGACATGCTAAATGAGATATAAATATAATAAGAAATAACTTTCAAAATTAAGTTTCTAATAAAAGTGACACTTACACGAATTATTCACTAAATAAATAAAAGAAAAGGGCGTTTTAGTACGCACACTGGATGAACATCGAAAATGTCGCGAATAATTTCAGCTTTCAAAATCTTAATATTTTATTTAAACCTATGCTACAAGGATCATAACCTGTTGTCTACACTAATCAGCCAAATATTTTCAAAATTACTCGAAATACACATCTCAATAAGCTATTTTCTATGAGTAAATTCAAGCTAAAACATAGTCTTTTACAGTTAAAAAAAATATTACAGCGGTGATATATTAACTTATTTCATTTTATGTTCTTCAGAGTCTCTTTACTGTGCTTTATCTAATATGACTCAACAAATATACTTGATAACATAAATGTCATTTTCTATATAAAATATATTTTTGTTTAGAATGGCTTATTTTAATTTTGTTGCTTCCATAGCAATCTTTTTTCGATGTAAAAAATATAATTAACTGATCGTTTATACAATGACGTACATTCACTGCATACTTCTAACTGAACTAGATCAATAGATAAAGGTCATTCAACGTACAATTTGTTTGGCATATACATATGTTTTCCATTTCATAGAGTGCACAGAATAGAGATCTTCCCATGTACATTAATTAGTGAAGAGAAAAAATTCATATTTCCAAACGAACAAATTAACTGGAATATGTAATTATATAAATTCAAACTTTTGTTTATTTACTATCATAAATTTTGATTTTAAAAAATCTGTTTGTATGATCTGTATTATGATTTGAAACTTTCCGAAACACTCATAAATATATTATAAGCAGAATTTGTGATTGTATCTTCAAGGTAAAACAATCGACAATAAGAAAGCTGTAATATTTCAACAATGAATGTTTTAATGGTCTTCAGGTATATAAACTGTAAACTAAGGTCTGTGATAGATAGGTATATAGTATATTACAAAGTTGAATTTAATTCTATCAGTAACGAGGTTGTATATACTGTATTGTATGTACCAATGGATACAAAATGATAATCTCAGACGAAATAAGACAAATAAAAGTATAGCAGTACATTGAGAACGTACTATTGTGTTAGTTAAACTATATCAAAAGAACTGCCAGTTCATATACTCCAGATAGGTAGTCGACTGAACCCACCATCTGTGCGAAAAATATATAAATCAGTTCACTGTTAGTTATTTAGATCACAGTGATAGTATGGTACATAAAAGCAAATCCTTTCGAGAATTCTCTCGTATACCTTCGTCTTTTCCCAACATTGTTCGATCCCGACCCCTACATATTCATCCAAGTTTGACCTGCTTCCTCTACTGAACTATTGTTTAGGAATTATTTTATCAATAATAGTACATTCTTGCACTTAAAAATGTTATTTATATTACCTTATGATTTAGCAGTGAATCGAATGTCCATATGTTGGCATGAAGTCCTAAACCCACTGGGTTAATTATAATGTCAAGATAGTTGTTTTTGAAAAATAATAAATTCAGTACATTCTTAAAATTTCGAACAGTATGTCACTGTTTAGAACATGTTTTATAATGTCGCCCAACTTACGAGTTTACGGACATGTGCACACACAGGGAGAAGTAATTGCAACTTTGATAATTTTGTAACTAAGATTTACTGACATTTATATAACTAAAATTTATCATTTATTCTGACTGTCTTCTGATTTTATATATTCATTTCGTACTATTTCTTAAATGTATATATATATATATATATATATATATATATATATGTATATTCCAACAGATATTTACCATACTATTCTTAATTTCCATAGTATCAATGTGTTTGGTTCATCTGTTTCTTTTTCTCATCACTACTATGGAAACTACATTTACTTAATAATAGTTGTTTATTACAAGCAATCACAAACATCCCTTTTCATTTCTTATAACGTGAATTGTCCTATTTATGAAATAATTTCCTCTTAAACATTAGCGTGTAAACGAAACTAAAAAATAATTGTTTACTTTCTTATGAAATATTCTTGCATTGCTAATTGAAATTTAGATTTACGTACATTTTTTTAAGAAGTGGATAAAATAATACTTCCAGTTACCTGTACAACGTTTAGAACAAAATCTAAAACTTAGTAGGTAGGATATTATTTGTTTAGTTAGCCTTATTTAATGTAATAAAATTCATGAAATACTTTATAATACTGTTTTCACAAAATTTGAGTATCTTACTTTACCTACATAACCATAGGAATATTACTGGGATCACGAACCGACTAAAGTTAAAAGACCATTGGAAACTAGGAAGCTCTGGACTCCCGGTTCGTCCTATTATTGAAATTCTCAGTAGTGCGTATACATGATTCCTCTATTGCTGACCAAATTCAGTACCTCCAGACCATGTGTTGAGCTCCAAACATTTAGACCACTAAACTGTCATCCGGTTTTGTATAAATCTATCTTCAATCAGTCCGAGATATCAGGCGACCATCATCTACTATCTTCGGCGGTTAAAATCCACTAGTTACAGCTCTTCGTTAGTACTCTTGGATGAAAATACTCCCCGATTTTCAATGGTTGTCTAACTTAAGTTGGTTCGTAATCTGACTAACACTCAACAATCTCCACAAAATACTTATATTAACTAGTAAGAATATATTTTGTGACTCCAGATTAATTTATACTCATCAAATGTGAATTTTAAACGCCCAGTTTACTTATCCAATTTATACAAGACACACAGTCTATTAAAGTGCTAACTATTCCAAAAGCAAACAATCGGGAAAGTCTGTACTTGCTCATTCTTGTTTATTCTTTACGCAAAGGAAAGGTGATCAAATCTGAATCTACGTATCGAAACAGTTGTCGGGGCAAACTTGACTGGAAGTGTTTAAATGTTGATGGCAGATAATTACTTTGTAAAAAATTCCAACATAATTTCCTACTTAAATTCGTTCTAAAGTGGTGTTTATTTGCTGCAATATTATATCATTTTGTATGAAAAGTTCGTTAATGCTACCAAGCATATGTTATTTAGTAAAATGAATGTCAGTGTTTATTATTATCATGACATGAGTTTACGCTATTAATTTCAGATCGTTTCATGTATATATTTATTCACTAAGACTGGATATCATATTGATTGATTTGCCTTTTTTAATACTGTACATAAAGCTAGTCAAACAGTAAATAAGCTGATATTCTGTCGATTCCTAAACCTCTTCCTCCTCCCAATAAAAAATGTTCCTTCTTCTATACTTTTCTATAAAGTATGTAAACTAATTTATTGCACTTAAAATCTAGATCAACGGGACCATAAATTTGGAAAGACAGACAAAGATTAAGATTGAAAAAATAGTATCACTGATTATTAGCCGTTTTATATAGAAATTTTTATACTAGCCATGTATTTTGTTTTTCTATGTTACTCCTCTAAAGTATATTTCACATAGCAGAATCTTCAGGTTGATTTAGTTAGTTCTTCAGTAGATTTTATACTAATTACCAATAATAGGTAGTACATCTCACTTTAGATAAAAACAGCAGCAAATTTTGGGCTTCTCACATACAACTTTCCTACATTTAATTTTGATTATTGTTCATTTTTGTTAAGCCCTTTTATTAACTTAACAGACAACGTTATTCGAACAGTGACAATTTACATATTTTTTGTACTACTATAATTACTACCGCATCTGTATAAACGTGTACTCTTGACCACATGACAGACTCTAGCTAAAATGTTGGTAGCCTAAATATCGCTCAATGAATCATTCTCTTCTCCATGTATATATGTACTCGAATCCTATTATTAGCCTTTGCCTTTCCTATCCCCGCCATATTCGATTGGACTATAAATTTGCCTATGTATTTGCTCGCATAAATGCATTC